ATGAGAGAAAGAAGGGCTGTTTATGCACAGGGAGACAGCTCAGGGGGCAGGAGTACATGGAGGGATGGACACAGGAAAGAGGTTACTATTGGGAGGAAGTGTGAGGGGAGCTATTGCATTGGGGTAAATTATAGTCAATGTCATGAGACAAAGTATATGTGAACTGCTATATGGAAAGTGAATTTGCTCTGTAAACTTTCACCCAAATCACAACTGAAAAAAAAATAAAGAAGTAGGCTGTCCTTCCAATAACAGATACATTAGCTCAACTACTTCTTCACCATGTGCTTGTAAATAAATAAATATACCTATAAATTTAGCATTAATTCACTGAAAGAACACTTGCAGAATGTCTACTAAAAGCCAGGCAGCACACTGGACACTAACCCATTAGCTCAAGTCAACTCCAACTCATAGCAACCCTATAGGACACAGCAGAACTATCCCATACAGTTTCCAAGGTTGTAATCTTTACAGAAGCAGACTGCCACATCTTTCTCCTGAGGAGCAGCTGGTGGGTTCGAACCACTGACCATCACTAACATTTCAGTTAGCAGCCATGTACTTAACCACTGCAGCACCAGGGCTCAGTAGAGACAGTGATATACACACCTCCCATGCACAACAAGCCTCTATCCTATAAACACATTGTTGTTGTTGTTGTTGTTGTTATGTGCCGTCAAGTCAGACTCGACGCATAGCGACCCCTCCTTGGGTTTCCGAGGCAGTATCACTACGGAAGTAGATTGCCTCATCTTCCTTCCGAGGGGTGGCCGGTGGGTTTGAACCACCAGCCTTCTGGTTAGCAGTCAGGTGCCTTAGGCATTATGCTACCAGAGTCAAACTTTGTCTCACCACCACCACCACCAGCTGCTCACACTGGGCCAGAGCCTGGAACTGAGAAAGGCCTAGAAAGTAAGAGCTATGTTCTATATCAGGGAGGCCTTTACCTATAAAGGGAAAATTTATATATAAAACAAAAGAAATCTCTATAGCTTTATTCATTTTAAAAGTAGGTGATTTGTACAGAAGGACAAATATAGTATTAGTTTGTTGCTGTGGAGGGTCAAAGAAAGGTTTATATATGGAGGGAAACTTTCTTTGTTGGTTGCCAGGCGTGGGAGAGGAGGGGAGGGAACACTGCAAAAAAAAAATGCATTGACCTATGTCACTTTAGTTTTGTGTATTTCACTGCACATAAATTATATTTCAATAAAATGCACTTAAAAAAAAGAAGTAGGTGATTGGTATATAGTCTGCTATATATATTCACAACAACAAAAATAAAATAAAATAAAGCAGGGTAAGAAATATTTTGATCTCGTTTTCATCATTTCAGAAGATCACGTCTGACTAAACACAATTTGGGTTTGAAGGTTAAAAAATAAATAAATAACTTGGAATAAGTGAGTTTAAAAAGCCCTATGAACTTTGAATGACTCCTCCACCTAATTACCTGAAAATGGGCAGCATTTTCTAATCTGCATATGATATTATTAATTACCACCATAAAACATAGGTGGGCTAGGAAAATGTAATCTTAAAAACACAGGATCAAACTTCTAGTTAAAGATAACAATTTGAACACCTGTATTTAGCTCAGCTCTCTCCTAAAACTTTTTTCTCAAAGTCTTTTCTTAAGAAAAGAATGTTTTCTTAAAGGCATAACCCTTACAGTGAACAGAACAGACAAAAACAGCAACAAACTTTTAAAAGCTGAATACTAATAGACAACTGGTCAATGGCACAGCTAAGAAAGCAAAATCCTAAGCCAGTACTGGAAAAACGCAAATGAAAATCACAGAACCACCGTCAGGAATCGGTGACATCAGGAGCTTCTGAAAGTAGACGTGACAATAGAGTAAAAAGGGAAGATTGGTTGAAAGACTAAATAGAAACTGTTATACATCCACATCCTTCTCCCTGACTCCCAAAGCAGCAGGTTTATACCCCAGAGGAAGGTGAAACAAGTCTCTGAACTGGTTTGCCAGGCATAGCTGAAGACACGGTTATTCTACCACTGGGCTCTTTTTGCATTTATACCAAAACTTAAAATAGAAAATATTTATTATTTCTCAAGTTTCTGTGGCCTGACCGGGTGGTCTAGGCTCGCTGGTCTATGTGGCCTCACTCACAAATCTGACTCCACTGTCCCTATGGTTGCTCCTCCTCCAGGAGACTTGTGCAGGCTACTTCAAAACTGTCCAAAACTAAAGCCACAAAGTCCCAAGAGCACCAATGACCTACAAGTCCAACCTGCTCTCCCAGTTCATAATGTCACCTTGATTGATCCAATGAAAGGCTGGATTATTTAAAAAAAAAAAAAAAAAAAGGCCATATTCAGGAAGGGAAGAAGGGGGGACGTCTCTATCTGTGCTGAGCACCTCTCTTCCCTTCCATTTCCTTAAATATAATCTTTCCTCATCTTTCCATACATTTAACTGGCTCCACTCCTTTGCCCTACCAGCCTCTACTATTTTATGGTGAAAGAGCATTAGACATGGAATCAAAATACTATACTTGCATTACTGACAGATCACTTGATTCTTTTAAGCCTCAGTTTTTTCATCTCGAAATGGGGATAATATTCCTTGACGATAGAAATCATGTGGCCATGTCTGCCCTAAGGCACTATACTCTAAGAACAACCCTGGTGTACAACCCAAAGCCACACATCTTCATCTTCAGGAAATCAGGAGATTTGGCAGCAACTGCCGCAAGGTGCAGAATGGAAAGCAGGACATACCTGGAAGGAAGTGGGAATACAGATGAGGTTCAGATTTTCTTGTTTCACTCTTTCAGCTGTGGAAACAAAAGCCATGTTGATGGTTTTTCACTCTCCTCACTTTATTTTTCTTGTCACACGTAAGGTTTGTTCAAATCCAACAATAAGAAAAAGGTTTATGTCCTATTGACAGGTACCTTTCATTCTGTGTCCCAACCCCTGTTAAAAAAGCCGGTGACCACATTTCACTCACATCACAAGATGGGCATGATAAAAAGCCTAAGGCAGTAAATAGGAAGAACAAAGTGTTTGCTATTGCTTTGTGCCTAGCACAGTCTAAGAACTTTATACACAGAACTCTTTTAATCCTAACCAACCAAAAGGTGAGTTATGACGATTATCCCCATTTTACAAATGAGGAAACTGAGGCACAGAGGGGTGAAATAACTTGTCAGTTATACAGCTGATTCAGTGGCAGAGATGGAATGTGATCCCAGGCAGTCTAGCTCCATAACCTTTTAACTATACCTTATACTGCCTTTTCTAGGGAATAACTAAAATTTTACTTTTGCATTTAATTAAATAATAATAATCATTTGTAAGCCCCAGAAAGTGTTCAAAAGGGGATTTATTTATTCATTTTTGGATTTTCACTTTTCAAGAAAGCTTGATATTATGAACATGTCTTAAGGAAAAAACTGTCCTATCATGCCAATACTCCAACTGCTCCTTAAAGACAAAGTGTTCCTGGACTTTGCCTCCCAAGCCCTGCCCCTTGGCATCTAGAAAATGAGATCAACATTCACACAAGCCTCTCCTCTGGGCTTTCTTCTTACAAACAAGAGCAGGGCAGTAAAACCTGTCAAGCAGCCACAGGAGTGGTAAGTCCTAATCCTTTCCTAAACACTGAAACACCCTAATCAGAATGAAGTCAGCACCTGTTCCGAACCAGCCACCCACTTCAGGAGCCTCGCCTAACTCCTGGGTCACAGATAGGACAAAAAACCACTCTGACCTCAATCTGTTTGCTTCAGATTGCCTAAGAAACCCAGGGGCTTGACAGGGCCTGGTATAGGGTCTCTGCTCCATACAGAACAGGAGCATGACACCAGGATGATTAAAATTCCGTTGAGACCTCACTATATCAGCTCCTCCCCTCCAACTAAGCACAGTCCACAAAGCCAAAGGCATCCCCCCAAAGTAGGTTAAGGAGCTCAGGAATCCCTCTCTCAAGAAAAAAGCAGATACACTCAACTGGCAGGCAACCCCTCTTCCAGCTCTGCACTGCTAAAGCCAACCTGGGCAGCTGTCAATCCTATGCCCTATTTGCTCTCCCTCTCTACCTCCCAGCCCCCATGATCCCACAGGAAGTGTCCTGTAGACAGATCCGGAACATACCTATCCGCTGCACAGCATGGACAATAGTAGAACCACTTCCAATTCCCAGCACTTGGTTGTTCTGCCAAAAAGAGGGGGAATAACAAAATTTATTAATAACATATATTACTTTCTTGAGTTGTAAAATTATTTTATGAATGAACAGCAGTTTACCAACACAGAAACAAGGTAAGTACTGTGCTCTCTTTATAAGAATATAACTGCTGAACCTCAAAGCCCTTTTTCATCCTAGGGCCCAGTGGACAATTGATCAGCAGAGGCCTCCTCCCTTCACCTCTGACACTGCTGATACAACCACTTCCTCCCTATATTCTGCTTGACAAAACAACTGGCCTAACCACTTATAATACACACCTCAGAGACATGGTGTGCAGATGAATTCTGAAAGATTCCTGGCCAACCCAGGGGGCAGTCAGAAAGGAAAAGAGAACAGAGCCTGAGTGTGCCCTAACAGTGGAAAACTGGTGCTTCTGGCTCCAGTGCCTTTTCCACAAGCTTAACTTCTGCAAGGTAGGGGTCTGACCACATGCACTTTCAAGGTGGTAATACCACAAGGAACCTCAGGATATGTCAGGCCCACCACCTAGAGTTCCCCCAAAGTCAGAAGGGATGAAGGGAGGGTCCAAGGTAACCTCAAAATAGCAAGGCACACTAGTATCTGTCCAGCTGACACAAAGAGGTCCTCATTTTCCCAGAGAATAAGAGAAGAGGGCAAAGGCTGAGTTAGGAACCCAAGAAATGGTCTTCATCTGCAATAGAAAGGCTTTGTAATAGATGGAGAGCACCTCCTGAGTACAAAAGACAATAAATGGGTGTCACAATACCCTGCCATCAACCCTGCTATCTTATGAAAGTGGGGAGGGTCACAGTAGCAGAGCAGAGGCACAGCATGGGCGTGGCTGAAGTCAGTTAGACCACAAACAGCGGAAATAATGATCAGGAACAAGCAGAGCCTGGGCTAGGTCAAGGTTCCACCTGTGACAATGCCCTCAGGAAGGCATTATTCAGCTGCCTCAGTAAACTCCAAAAGCAAGAGTTCCAATCTATTGAGAAAGGACTTGAAGCGAAGGTACATCACAACACAAAAACATTCAAAATGGCTGAATATCTGAACATGCAAAAATTTTTAAGTAACTGAGAACATGTCTTGACTTAAAAATGCCTAGGGACAACCCTGCAAACAGCCCTCTTGGCAACAGCAAGATCATGAGCAGTGTTCACAGAGGTTGGACAGACCACTGGTTGGTTCAGTGGCACCACTAGGGAGGATACAGTGTGTGCAGATTACACCAAGTGACACAGTCAGAAGGGGTGACACCAAGATTACCGTCTATAAAATTTGGGGGCAGTGTTTCAGCAGAAATTGTTATTTTTGATAAACATATCCTTGTAATTAATTATAACAACATTTTTCATAAGCCCAGTTTACATATACCAATACACTTACAGGCTGAAACTCTATGCTAATTTACTTTTTGAATCTTCTGATGCACTCCGGTCAGAGCTGTCATTATTACTCAATGACAATGATGCTTGGAATCTCCTGGTTTCATCTGCACAGGCTACAGGCACATACTGTTGTTTTCATTGCTACTGGTGTTTTTCCAGCTGCTGATTTTGTCAAATTTTCTGATGTTTTAGCTACAACATTGTGGTAATTAATATTTGTGAACCTATGTCAATAACATGTTTTTTTAACATTGTATTGGGGTGTACATGAAAGTTTAGGAGCAAATTAGTTGCCCATTCAACAACTTATACACTTACACAACTCATCTTATTTCATGATGTTGGCTGCAATCCCCTCAACATAATAGCACTCTTTCCACTTATTCTTAGGGTTTCCTGTTTCCATTCACCCATCTTTCCTGTCCCTTCCAGTGTCCTGAACTTTGTTTTGGGGCAAATGCTGCCCTTTTGGTCTCTTTTGGTTGGCTGTTCTGAGGAGCCCATTCCTCACAGGTATTACTGTTCACTTTCTAGACCTATCCTTGGGCTGAAAGGTGACCTTTGGGAGTAGTTTCAGTTCCAGGTTTGAAGAGTGTCTGTCAAAGATTGAAATGTGCTCCCCAAAATGTGTGTCAACTTGGCTGGACCATGATCCCCTGTGGTTTGGCAGTTATGCAATGATATAATGTGGCAGTTATATAATGATCCCCATGATGTGATCTGATGATATAGGTCAATCAGTTGCAAAAGGATTAGGGTGGGGCATACCACCCTTAATTCCATCATAGCCCTGATGCCAACTGATGTATGGAGAGTTAGTTGCCCTGGTGTGTGGCCTGCAACACCTTTTATCTTATAAGAGCTAAAAGGAGAGAGAGGGGAGGAGAGAGAGTGGGACCCAGTACCACCAAGGAAGAAGAGTCTTGAGCAGAGTGCATCCTTTGGACCCAGGGTCCCTGTGCTGGAATGCTCCTAGGACAAAGAGGCACAGAGAGAGAGAACATCTTCCCCTAGAGCCAGCACTCTGAATTCAGATTTCTGGCCTCCTAAACTGTGAGCGAATAAATTCGTCTGGTAAAGCCATCCATTTGTGGTATTTCTGTTACAGCAGTACTAGATAACTAAGACAGTGCCTAAAGCCCATGTTGTTGTTGTTATTTGTCATCAAGTCGGACCCGACTCATAGCGACCCCTCCTTGGGGTTCTGAGGCAGTATCACTACGGAAGTAGATTGTCCAACCTTCCTTTCGAGGAGTGACTGGTGGGTTTGAACCGCCAGCCTTCTAGTTAGCAGTCAAGTGCCTTAAAAAAAAAAAGAAAGTGTAGATAGACTTAACCTGACCTGAAGTTATGATCCAGCTATTTAGCAATTCAACTGCCAGGTTTCTCATTACTATGTCCAGCCATACACTTATGTCACCAACAGGTTCCCAGCAGGCAGGTGACATACAGATGAATCTGGGTGAGTCAGACAAACTCCTGTGCACGGCTCCTCTCTTGGCTGTGGAGAAGGCCAGGAAATATAGAAGCCTACTACACCCAAGTTCTTCAGCCACATGTTCCTGCTACCTTGCACTCAAGTGACCGGCCTAGGAATCAGTGCCCTAGTTAAAGCCAACAAGAGGTGACCAAAAGCTACCTAGGAGGTGGCCCAATGGCAGAAAGCTGACAAACAGGCCCTGCTGGAGGAGCAGGCCCCTTCTCATTGTTGTTGTTGTTGTTAAGTGCC